AAAAAAAGGGAGATGGTGACCCTGCAATTGGCAGGGTCCTCGGCTGCTTTGCGATGCTTTGCGTACGTAATGCTAGTCAACAAGATCAATTTCGCAAGATGAAGTCTGCCGGACGTACAATGTGGTGACTGTTGTTTCGTGGAGAATGACGATGCGGTCGAGGGCTTGTCACCTCGTCTAGTATCTGTGAGCTGAGGAGTCCCTGTGAGAGTCGTTGCTCGCCGAGTCTGGGCACAAGCGCCAGAGAGTCGTGCTGGCATGTTGATTGCATGAACACAAATCTCCTGCGTTGGTAGGCTTGGAAAGGAAACTGAAACGGCCCGGTGCAGCTCTCAATGTGATATCGACGCCGGGCAGGAAACGAGCTAGGGGTTGACGCATCTGACATTATCCCCGACTGCTGGCCCGCGAGCTCATGGCCACATACACAGTATTGTTGCATGCGGGTAAGCAAGCGACATCCCGGATCGCGTCAATATAGCACACAAATTGCTACTTCTTAGCAAGGCGTCACACATGGCTCGCTCCTCCATGTGCACCTGCAGCATGACCTTGCCCGGAGGCAGCGTGGAGAAGATGTATTTATATACGGTGCGCTTCTATGGGCATTCTATTGCAGATTGTAGATCCCATATGCCCGAAAACAAAAAGAAGAAGAAGAAAAGACGCTTTTTGATGCAACAGACATATCTGGCCATGTCCTCGTCATGCTCCAACCCGCCAGCAAATCTTCCCACGGACCTTACCGCGTCGGCCGCAGCATGGGCGCAATGATGCCCTGCTTGACCAGCACGCGCGGCTTCGTCGCGTCCTGGAACGACTCCTTGGTCTGCCACTCGGGGCCCATGGGCAGGCGCAGGGAGCGCTCGTACTGCGCGCGCGACTCGAACTGGTGGGGGAGCTGCGAGGCGAGATACTTGTCGTTCTGCAGTTTTCGTTAGCTGCGCTCGCGGCTGATACCAAGAGAGGCATGGGGGGGATAGAGAGAGAAAGGACTGGGGAGATTGAGGAGCTAGAAGGACTGAGGAGCTGGAAGGACTCACATTCTTGACCCGCTTCTCGTTGATGATGACCTTTTCGAGCTTGGCGTCCTTGCGATTCGCCTTCTTGATGCCCTCGACCTTGCGGAGCACCTTGCCCTTGTGCCGCGCCTTGTCGCGCGCCGACACGCCGTCGCCGACCCAGTTGCCCCAGCCCGGCAGCGTCTCGTCGATGACCTTGTCGTCCTGCTCCGTCTCCATCTCGGCCTTTTCGGCCGCAAAGTGCTCCACGACATTGTCGCCGGCGAACGCGCGGTCGAGCTGGTCGACGTCGCGGATGGCGAGGGGCAGGTGAAGGTCCGCATCGTCGCCGTCGACGTCCATCTCGGTACCGGCCGCCGATGACTTGGTGGATTTTGAGACGCGCTTGGAGCCGGCCTTGATGATGTCGGTCGTGCTGATCGTGTCGACGACGGGCGCGTGCTTCTTGTTCTTGCGGCGGGGTTCGTTGGAGGACCAGGCGTCGCTCTTCAGGGCGGTACCGTCGGCCGTGATGGAGGTGCCGATGTTGAGGGATGCGGCGTCGGCTCTGGGGCGGGAGGCTTTCCCTGAAGGAGCGTCGTTGTCTTCCCCGGCGGCTGCCGCAGCGGCGGCACGCTTCTTCTCGCGGGCAGCCGTCAGGGCTGGCGCCGAGATGGAAGACTGTTCACCACCGTACTTTTTGCGGCCAATCTCCTCGACCTCCTCGTCGGACACGTCCTTCGGCATCGGAGGCAAGGTCCTTGCGGATCTGCGCAATCATGGCGTCGTTCTCGGCCTTTTGGTTCAGCTTCGGCCTTCTGCATAAACTTCATCTTCATGAGAGCAGACTTGGGCTCATCATCATCGTACTTCTCCGCCCTGTCGAGCTGAGCCAGGAGGTCTCGGTTCTTGCCGTCCTCGGAGCCGCTGTCAGAGTATTCGTCGTCATCGTCATCCGAAGCATTACCTGCGCGGCCCTCTTTGCGCTGCCGTAGCTCCTCCTCACGACGGGCCATGTCGTGGAGGCCGGAGCGGTAGTCGTCATCCCAGACAGCACGCTTGTTCGAGTTTCCGGCCTTGGCCCACCTGCTGTCGCGGTGACGAGCACCAACACGCTCGAGGGCGCGCGCGCGGTCCTGCGCATCGCGTTCCTCCTCCGAGTCGATCTCGCCTGCCTCCGCCATGGCCTCGTGGAGCTTGAGCTCATCGCGCTCGCGCTGCCGGCGGTGCACACGGTGATACGCCTTACTCTTGATCTTCTTGATGCGCTTGTTGCGCTTGGCTTCGCGCGAGCGCAGCTCCTTCTCCTGGCGCTTCTGGTTGACGAGCTCCTGGAGCGCCTCCTTTGAGAGACCCTCGCTCGGGTTGTCCTTGGCCTTGATGCGCTTCTCTTCCTCTTTGTTCAGCGCCAGACCGCTCTGTTCCATGATGCTCATGATGGTCTGCTCCAGCTCGTTGCCTGTCGTCTTGGACGTTATGGGCGCCAGCTCGTCGTGGTTGAGGCCTGCATCCTGCGCGTTCTCGGGCAGGGGAAAGACGAGATGCTCGGCGCGGCGATCCTGCTTCACGCGGTCGGTCCAGCGATCGAGAGTCTCATTTGTCTTTTCGTACGCAACAGCGCGGCTCAGCTTGTCCTGCTGGCGCTTGCCGAGTGGAATAGCAAGCTTCTTAGCGCCCCCTGGACGGGCTTCTTTCTCCTCTTTGGACATGAGCTTCATGGATTTCTTCATCTGCGGGTCTTTGACGCCCGCGAGACCGAGGTCCTTGAAGCTGATCTTCTGGCGGGGCTTTGATCCATCCGGAGCATCCTCCTTGCCGTCTTCGCCGCCGTAACCAGAAATGAAGGTTTGCAGAGCATCGAGCTTGGAAGAATCAACATCTTCATTAAATCAACATCTTCATTGTCCCTCGTCGTCCTCGTCGGATGATGGTGGGCTGGACGCATCGTCTTGGTCCGAATCAGACTCATCAGATTCTCCCTCCTCCTCTTCTTCGTCTGACTCGTCTTCCGCCATATCGAGCATCTGCGCCAGGTCAATGGCGTCTTCTCCGAGGTCGTCACCATCGTCTCCGGCGTCGAAGTCATCTGGGTCGTCGAACGGGTGGTCATCGTCAGAATGGTCCTGCTTGGTCTTCTTGGTCTTCTTCTGCGAACTCTTGCCAAAGGTGTAGCCCTGGAACTCCTCCTCGTCGCTTTCCCCAAACGCCTCGTCACTGTCAAGCTCCGAGTCGTCATCGGCGCCGACACCGTATCGCCACTCGTTGCCCTCGCTGTCGCTGCCGAATTCATCCTCCTCGTCATCGCCAGCGGGGGCCGCCGAGGGCTTCACGCGCTTCCTCCTCGACTGGGCCTCGTCCTCGTCGTCTTCGTCGTCTTCGTCTTCGTCATCTTCCTCGCGACTGTGCTTGCGCCCAACATCGGCGTTGATCTCACGGAACCGTGGTGTCTTCTTCTCCTTTGTGGGGAACTGTTCGGAGGCGATGCCAAAGGCGTCGAGAGCCCGGGCGCGGACCTTTTGGCTGGATTTCTTGTGCGGCTTGGGCGCCGACTTGGCAGAGATGAGCGGCCTTCCGTGAGCCTGTCGTCCGGGCATTGTGTCGGTCGAGTTGGTGAGGTTGGGTGTAGTTGTCGTCAATTGGCACCTTGCCCACTGAAGCTCGGAGGTGCTTGCCTGCTTGACAATTTGGACTTTTTCTGATTCTGCCGTGGTGGGCAAAGCGGTGAGCTGGATTTTACAGTGGGGGACCCCTGTAAGTGGCACCACTGTCGCTGGACAGGACGAGTAGGGGTCCACATGGGCTCTTGACAGGGTGCAAACCGGGTACGTACCCTCCGATCTCGAAGTCCCGAGTCCACTCGGAGCATCTGGATTTCCCATCCAATGAATCATTTAGGGTCCAGAGCCTCGCTCTCGACTTTCCATCCCACCTTGAACTTGTACCTCAACATCACCCACCGAGCACCCTCAGGTCGAAGCTTTTCACCACCACCCCGATTGCTGGCCGACATGGCGTCTTTCGCCCCAGGCCTACGTCGACTAGCCGTTCGGCTGTCGACTCCAGCAATTGTCTGCCGCCAATGCCAGCATCAGCAGATTCCCTTGCGCTCACCATCACGCATCATCAACATCGTACGATGTCGCCAGTATGCCGTCGCAAAGGCACCATCTATGAGCTTCACAGCCAATGCCGCTGCTGAGCAGGTTCAGGCTGCGCCATCTGTGGCGAAGGAGGCTGCAAAGGCTGCGAGCAAGTCCTTCCCCGAAAAGACGACCTCCAAGCCGGTCGCCATCTGGCTGCTGGGCAGCGCTGTTAGTGTCTTTGGTCTTGTCGTCTGGGGTGGTCTGACGAGGTTGACCGAGTCTGGGTATGTCTAAACACGTTCTGCTCTAGCTGTAGCATCAAAACTTATGCTTCGTGGCAACAACTAACATCTTCCAGTCTCAGTATCACCGAGTGGCGTCCCGTCACCGGCTCCCTGCCTCCCTCGAGCCTTGAAGACTGGCAATCCGAGTTCGACAAGTATCGCGCCTCGCCCGAATTTGCGCTCCTCAACCCGCACATGACTATGGACGAGTTCAAGCAGATCTACTTTATGGAATGGAGCCACCGCGTCTGGGGCCGTCTCGTCGGCATGACCTTTGTCCTGCCTGCCCTCTACTTTGTCGCACGACGCCGCGTCTCTAAGCCCATGGCAGCCAACCTGCTCGGCATTTCCCTGCTGATTGGCTTCCAAGGCTTCATCGGCTGGTGGATGGTCAAGTCTGGCCTCAAGGACGACCTCTTTGCCCCTGGCTCGCACCCCAGGGTCAGCCAGTACCGCCTGACGGCCCATCTCGGCACCGCCTTTGCCTGCTACTCCTGGATGCTCCTGACGGCCCTGACCATCCTGCGCACGCGCAAGCTGACGGCTGACCCCGTTGCCGCCGTCAAGTCCCTGCACGTCCTTAAACACGCTGCCATCACGCCGTTCCGCCGTTCCATCTACGGCCTGACCGCCCTTGTCTTCACGACGGCCATGTCGGGCGCCCTCGTCGCCGGTCTCGATGCCGGTCTCATCTACAACGAGTTTCCCAAGATGGGCCTCGGCCTGACGCCGCCCCAGGCGGAGCTCTGGGATAAGTTCTACTCGCGCAAGGCCGACGGCTCGGACCTCTGGTGGCGCAACATGCTTGAGAACCCCAGCACCGTCCAGCTCGACCACCGCATCCTTGCCATGACCACCTTCACCACCATCCTCACGCTCTTCGCGTACTCGCGCCGCGGCCGCGTCGGCGCCGCCCTGCCCAAGGACGCCAAGAAGGGCATGCTCGGCGTCGTCCACCTCGTCTGCCTGCAAGCCGCCCTCGGCATCAGCACCCTCATCTACATGGTCCCCATCCCCCTCGCCTCGGCCCACCAGGCCGGCAGCCTGGCGCTGCTGACGGGCGTCCTCATCCTCGGACACCGCCTGCGTGTCCCCAAGTCCACGCTCGCCATGCTCGAGCGGAAGCTCAAGGTGCAGGTGCCCAAGAAGCCATGAACACACCCCCTGGATACTCGCAGGATTTGTAACGAAACAGCACGAGAACGCATCATGTATAAGCATGTAATACCACATTGTAGATAGGGTCATCACCCCCCCAAAAATAGGCGTTTCATTTCCGGTCTACCAAAAACCCTCAACCGCCGTATCCAGTGTAGAACACCTCAACTCTCTAGACATCTTTTGACCTTTTCTTAATTTCAAAGAGGGCCTGTTTCGAGGCTTGAATACTATTCCCATTTCTTTTTTCAAATCGTTCAGCACGATATCTTCGATTGTCATGCAAACTTTGCTCTCTTGTTGATGCTTGCCGGGGAGAGGTTTGTTTATTTGTGGGCTGAGGCATTGTCGTTAGTCACGAAACGGTCATGAATAGTCATGGCATATGATTGCGCCAAGACGCTGCGGGTGACGTACCGATGCCCTCGACGGGCAGGGGCTCGATGCCGACCTCCTCGGCGGCGAGCTTCGGCTGGGGCTTCTGCGTGTCGTCCTTCATGAAGGGGAAGGCGAGGACCTCGCGGATGGTGTAGTGGTCGGTTAGGAACATGACCATGCGGTCGATGCCCATGCCCCAGCCGGCGGTGGGGGGGAGACCGTACTGCGCGGCGTTAGCCCCATTCCTTCTTTCTTATGTCTCCGCATGCTGCGTCGCATTGCGCATGACGGGAGCACGGCGCTCAACGTACCTCGAGAGACATGCAGAAGTTCTCGTCAATCATCTGCGCCTCGTCGTCGCCCTGGTCCTTCTGGCGGGCCTGCTCCTCGAAGCGCAGCCTCTGGTCAAAGGGGTCGTTCAACTCGGTGTACGCGTTGACAATCTCCTTCTTGCAGACAAAGGCCTCGAAGCGCTCGCACAGGCCGGGCATGGAGCGGTGGTACTTGGCCAGGGGCGACATGACCTGCGGGTGGCCAAAGATGAAGCTGGGGCTGACGCACTGCTCCTCGATGTACTCGCCGACGAGCTTGTCGATCATGCGGGCGTTGGTGAGCGGGGGCGAGCAGTCGAGCTTCATCTTCTTGAGGACGCCGCGCAGGAACTCGTTTGTCTCGGCGGCTGGGGCGTGTGTTAGTCGGACACTGATGGTCCTAACGGAAAGAAGAGGGAAAGGGAAAAGGAGTAGGAGAAGAAGAGCGAAATGGGGAACGCACTGTGCAGCTGGTCCGAGGGTGGGAACTTCTCGCCCGTCTGCTTCTCGAGCTCGGGAATCATCTCGAAGCGCTTCCAGGGCTTCTCCCAGTTGACCTCGTAGACCTCGCCGGTCTGCGTGTGGAACTGGGTCTTGTAGCCGCCGGTGAGGTGCTTGACGAGGCCGCTGACAAGGTCCTCGGTTGTGTTCATCAGGTCCTGTCCACCGCGTTAGCATTGGGTCGCGCGAGACGAGAGCGAAGCAAACGCACGTAGACATCGGCGTACGCCTCGTAGAACTCGCAAGTGGTGAACTCGGGGTTGTGGGTGAGGTCAAGGCCCTCATCTGCGACACAAGTCAGTCATTCGGCCCATTATGCTGTGTGGTCACGGGCACCTACTCCTGAATTGACGTCCAATCTCGTAGACGCGGTTCAGGCCACCGACGACAAGCTCCTTGAGGTACAGCTCGGGGGCGATACCTGGGCAAAAGTCAGACACTGTAACATTGTGTAGAGCAGCTAGGACTCACGCATGAACATGGTCATGTCGAGCTCGTTGTGGTAGGTGATGAAGGGCTTGGCAGTCGCGCCACCAGCAATGGCGTTCATCTGGGGGGTCTCGACTTCGACAAAGTCCTAGGAACGAATGAGCAATGCATTCGGCATGGTAATCGCAGTGATACTGACCCTCTCGTCGAGGTAGCGACGAATGTAAGTGACCATCTTGGATCTTGTGATGAGGGTGTTGCGGCTGCGGTCGTTCATCATGAGATCGAGATACCTCTGTTCCTCGTCAGCGATTGGCCCTGCAGCAACGGTTCGAAGGCGCGCATACCTTGCGGAAACGCTCCTCCTGGTCCTTGAGACCGTAGTACTCGTCGGGCAGGTTGTGCAGGCAGGGCGTCAGGAGCTTGATCTCGGTCGCGAAGATGGAGAGCTCGCCCTCCTCGCCCTTCTCGAGCTTGGACTTGGGCGCTGTCCTGGATGCGGGGGTTAGCGATGGCGTCTGGGAACCCCCAAGAGAGATATGGCTACTGACCTTCCGGGGTAGCCGACGATGCCAATGATGTCACCGCGGCGAAGGTGCAGGTGCTGGTCGTCGAACGAGACGTCGCCGGTGACCTCCTGGGCCTGGCACATGACCTGGACCTTGACGCCCTCGACGCGGACATCGTAGAATACGAGCTTGGAGCCCGAGGCGCGCTTGTTGTAGATACGGGCGCCGACGCGGAGGATCTTGTCCTTGTTGTGCTCGCCGGACTTGAGGTGGCCGAAATCGGTGGTGAACTTGCGGACGTCATAGTCGACTTTGGGTCAGAGGTCAGCAAGGTTGTGAAGAGAAAATGGCCATGGCCCAGGGAGAGGTCAAGCTTGCCGTGGAACTTGTGGGGGTAAGGGTCGGGAGACTTGTTCTCGCGCAGCCTGGACTGGTCAGCAAGCGAAGCTCAGATGTTGACAAGGATGGGGGCGATGCGCACTTGTTGATGGCGCGCGAGCGAATCTCAAAGTACTGGCGCGGGTCGAGGGCCTTCTCGTCAGCCTCGGCGTTGTCCTTCTTGGCGGCGACGGGCTTGGGAGGGGCGGCAGCGGCCTTCTCAGCCTTCTTGGCGTCCCTCTCGCGGTTCTTCTGCCTCTTCTTGAGCTCGCTCTTGGAAACCATCTCGCCGGTGACGCTGTCGAGGTGCATGTTGGCGACGGCCTCGGTGGGCGGGGCGGGGGCGGGGGCGCTCGAGTCGGCCATGTTTGGAGGGGTCGTTTGCAATCAAGTGCCAATGGCGACGATGCTGAATGAACTTCTTGTCGTGCGGATGGCCTGGCGAAGAGCGATCCGGGGAAGGGGGGTTGATTGCGTGTCGCGTGCGGCGTGCGGCGTGCGGCGTGCTGTGATATCGGACAAAAATTTCGAAGCCCCCGAGTGCGGTGCCGTTGGACGATATTGTGTCGCGGCGGGGTAATTTGTGACTGTTTGACCCTGACTCACCGAGGGCCAAGCAACGAGGGGCAGTCGAGCAGCGGAACGAGGGGCAGATGAGCACGGCCGCTGCGCACTGTAGCTATCGATAGAGGTGGGGCTTTTGCTGGAAGCCTTCGTCACTTACATACCTACCTTACCTAGGTAGGTAGGTACCTGCCCAGTTGCCCAGGTACCTCACCTACCTCCCTGGAGGCAAGGTCTGAGGGACGTCATCTCGAATCGGCGGTTTGCACTGAGGTCCGATTCATAGACCATGATGCAAGAAATAATTTGAGAAGAAGAATAAAATAAAAAAACCAAGTGTTCAGATGTGAAATGTGTAGATAGTGCTTGGTCTCCACTAGATGATACCTGTAGAGGTAGGTCCCACGGAATATAGCAAATGATGAATGTTGGTGGTGAAACAATGACTTTGGTTCAATGCGACGAGAAAGCATATCATTGTACATGTATTCATCGTGCCTTGCCATCGCAATACGTACGTACAAACACCTGTCTGCAACATGCTGCGTCTCTCCACCTTGCTCGCACCACTGCTGCGCCGAGACGGCCTTTGCATACAAGCACATAATTCAGCGAGGAAAGCTGCAGCCTCCACCAACACTCGTCATCCTGCTCCTGTCTCGTACAGAAGTGCAGACGGCACATGCAATGACAAGGACATTCGGCCCACAGACGACGTTGCCCACAGACATCAGCGTGAGACATCAAGGCTGACATGACATGGCCGAGTCCCGCCGTCGGGAATGATGGAAGACAGAATCAGCTTCGATGAGACACCACACCCCACAGGGATGATGCCCAATCTCTCGTGTCTTATTATTGTACATGCTTCCGCCCCCGCGTCCAGTGTCGCTTGCAGCCATGTTTTGTTCTTGTTGAGCCAACGCCTGAGCCTATCAAGAGAATTGGGACCGAGCCAGCTCGTAGCCAACAATGAGGTCGCGCATGGCATTGGCGTCGTGCCACCGCATGTACGATGCGTCAGAGGGGGGGGGGGGGGGCGCACTGAGGGGGCCGAATCATTCGAGGTCCTGACCCTCCCTGCGAGGCCTTCCAAAAAGACCTGCTCGATGGGTCTGGCCAAAAGAATCGTCAAGGGAATGTCAGACATGGCCGCGGCTACATCCGGCCTCAGATCTTGAATTTTCTTGATATAAACGCGAGTGGAGCAGTAAGATGAGGCTCCAAGAAAGGCAAGGCAGAAGAAGCGGCAAAAGACGAGCCAGCCTTCTATTCTTTCATGTGATTCTGGAGCCCTTCCTCCCTCAGGGTTTTCTCTGTCAGGTTCGGAGCTTTAGGGGGCAGGGAAGCTTGGGAGGGGTCGTCTTCACTGCTGGCTCGGTTCGGTTCAGTGGGCTTAGCGGGTGCTCGGGCCCTGTGTGGGGGTTTCCGGGGTCTTTTTGGGTGCTCCGCGGGGCTGCTCCAATGGGACGTCACGGTCCGCACCCCGTCGATCCGTGGGCTCGCTGCCTGCCCCATCTTGCCCATGCCCTGTTCCGGTTTAAGGCGCTTTTTTGGTGCTGACCTTCCCGAGTGTGAGGTGCTCATCCATCCAATCCATCCAGCCCATTAGTATCAACGTGAACCGACACGGCCAGCCTCGAAAACCTGTCGTCTACATCCCACCACCACCACCACCACCACCGCCGGCAGCTCGGACAGTCGCCGATTGATCACGCAGATCCCCAACATCATCTGCTTCTGTGCTGCTCGGCTGTATGTGTGCTCGCGTTGCCGCACGTCCACGACGTTTTACCTCTTTCCTCTGGACAACCCCGACACACGTCTTCTTGCCTATTTGATACCCCGTGCCCCCTCCCCTTTCCGTCGCGTGGTCCTCCAGATACCTCATTTGCTTGGCCTTGCTATCGCAACGACATGACGGGCTGAACATATCTTGCTTCATCTCCACGGCTTTATATACTTTTTGCTCGCTCGAGAAATACACACACACATATATACCCCCCCCCCTCTGTTCGTGCGCAGAGATTGCGTCATTCGAGACCTTCGCCCACCATGAGCGACCAGCCTGGTCACGCCGCCGCGGCGGCGCCGTCCACGGGCCGCATATCGAAGAAGAGGCCCAAGGAGCTGTATCCCATGGTGCCGTGGAAATACGACCTCTTCCTCTGGGTAATGGGCGTGCTGGTCGACCTCTTCTTCCGCGAGGTCCACCCCCGAGGCACGTGGAAGGTTCCGCGGACCGGTCCCGTGCTCTTCGTCGCCGCACCGCATGCCAACCAGGTTCGTCGCTTTCCCCCCCTTCCAACGACGAGACGATGCCTATACTCTCGACGCTTTCTGCTGACATGTTTCTGCTTCCCCAGTTCGTCGACGCCCTCGTCCTTTACCGAACCCTACGCAACGAGGCCGGCCGCCGCGTGAGCCTGCTTATCGCCCAGAAATCAGTTCACGGCTTCATCGGCTGGGGCTCGCGCCAGGTCGGTTCCGTGCCTGTCGGCCGACCTCAGGATGCCGCGAAGCCTGGCTCCGGCACCATCTACCTGCCCGACCCCGACAACGACCCGACGCTGATTCGCGGCGTCGGCACAAAGTTTGGCGAGGGCGAGGGCGAGGTCGGCGGCATGCTGTTCCTGCCCTCGACCAAGGGCCACACGGGCGCCAGCATTGACATTGCCGAGATCATCAGCCCCGAAGAGATCCGCATCAAGCGCGCGTTCAAGGGCAAGATTCCCATGCGCCAGCTCACGGGCCGTGACGACGGTGCCGGCAGCGGCCTCTCGGAGGAGTTTCAGGGCACAAAGTACAAGCTCGCGCCCAAGGTCGACCAGACCAAGGTGTACGAGGCCGTCTTCAACCGCCTGGGACACGGCGGCTGCGTCGGCATCTTCCCCGAGGGCGGCAGCCACGACAGGACGGAGCTCCTGCCGCTCAAGGCCGGCCTCGCCATCATGGCGCTGGGCGCCCTCGCCGAGGACCCCGACATTGGGCTCAAGATTGTGCCGGTCGGCATGAACTACTTCCACGCGCACAAGTTCCGGTCGCGGGCTGTCATTGAGTTTGGCGCGCCGTACGAGATCCCGAAGCGCATCGTCGACATGTACCGCAACAACCAGAGGCGCGAGGCGATTGGCGAGCTCCTCGACACGACGCACCAGATTCTCAGCGCCGTCACCGTCTCGACACCCGACTACGACACGCTCATGCTCATCCAGGCGGCGCGGCGGCTCTACAACCCCACGGGCAAGAAGCTGCCGCTGCCGGTGGTCATTGAGCTCAACCGGCGGCTGGCGCTGGGCTACGAGCGGTACAAGGATGACGAGCGCATCGTGCACCTGTCCAAGGCGGTCAAGGAGTACAACCGGCAGCTGCGCTACGTCAACCTGCGCGACCACCAGGTGCAGTACGGCAAAATGTCGACGCCCAAGGTCATTCTTGAC